AGGTCGCAGTCATAAATATCTTACAAGAGTAAGCATTTTACTAAATTAAGCATTTGTTGGACCAGTTCTCTTGATCAATGGAGAGAAGACTCTTCAACCGGACCATCCAGCCAAAAATAGAAACAAAGCAGTGGGAACCCCATGACCTTTATGGGAAGACATTGCAATGAATGGTAGAGGATATGGATTACAGAGACACATTGGTGGCGCTTCCGGGAGCTGCAGAATTTTTACTGGATGAAAGCTCCAAGTGTCTGCTGCCTGCATATTTTGTTGCAGAGTGATTTAGAGGCAGAGTCCCAGACCACAAGGGTGCTTCTCTCCATCCTTCCTCTTGTCTTTAATACACTTACATGTGACACTAATGGAATAAAGCTTTCAAGCTAGCAGGAAGATCAATAAAAATTTTGTAAGGCTAGCAAACACTTATTGAGCGTCATAGTATATGGCTTAGTTTTCTTTTTTGAAAAATGAAAGAAAAGAGATTCAAATAAATAATACTGGAAAGTCACTTGCGTCATTTTAGAAATGGTATTATTTTAATGGTAAATTTTAAAATAGTGTATGTGATCCTACCTGCTAGTTATCTGGGATTTCCAGATTTTTAAATGTTTAAATCTTAAAACGAATAAATTCCCCCTTTTCACTATGTTCTCAAACAGTGAAATTCCCTGCACTTGGTTTAAAAAAAAAAAAAACACCTCAGAAGATTTAATTTTCCTATTATGATTGAGGGTTCTTTTTTTTTTTTTTAAGGCTCATACTTACTTAATGTGACGGTAACTTGAAAGGTATTAAATCTCAGAAAACTGTCATCTCTCTAAGCCCCAGAAAGACGGATGATTACCTCTTCCCAAGCCAGGTTGTACCCTGGAAACTGTACCAATAAGTCCCGCAACCTGAGGCCCCCAGGAGGTGCGACTGTACCTGAGCTGAAAACCTCTGAAAGCAGCAGCAGAGCCAGACTCTGCCCCCCAGGACCACTGTCCCCAGTTTGACACAGGTTTGCTTTCCCTGTTAGCAATGAGCGAGCACAGCCCAGAGGAACTAGAAACCTGGTTTCCCACATTGGTGTAGGAGTAGGGAGAGAGCCTAAAATACCTTCCACCATGTATTGAGTCTTGCAGTGGGCCTGGCAGTCTCATTTAATTTTCACAACTCTGAAAGTGTTTTCCTGCACTGCAGATGGGGAAATGAAGACTGAAAGGTTAAGTGATGTGCGGCTGGTTCACAGCTTCTAAGGGGCAGAGCCAGGTCAACGCTCCAAAGCACGCCTTCCCCACAAACTCAAACATACAGCTACACCTCCAAGTGTGGGAAGCCCAGGACCTTGAGGAAGGGCGTAAACGCTGAGAGAAGGAGGGCTGAATATTTGCTACACACCTCCTATATGCCAAGCTGTGTTCTTAACATCTTTTCAACTAATCCTCCCAACGACCCTGTGAGTTAGGCAGTTTCACCCCCGTATTACCTACTCAGAGAAGTCAAGAAACTTTGAAGGTCACTGAGCTAGTTAGTAGCAGGGCTTACAGCTAAACCCAGGTCTGTTTGAGTTTATCTTCCCTCTTACCATGATAGAATGTTAACCAAAATTGTTTTTGGAGAAATAAGGACCATTACATTGGTGGAAAGGAAAGACCGATAGAAAAGCAGAAACATAGCCTGAAAACTTTAGACAAATGTTCAACCTAATGGTTAAAAATTAACAGTATATAATCTTGCGCTAAATAGCCTGACAACTTTTTAAATTACCTTTATTTTACTAAATTTAACCTGTCAGTTTTATATGAACATAACACACTTTAAGATCAATTTTAAATTTGTCTTGTTAAGAATAGGACTCAGGAGGTCTTTTGTGATAGAAATGAATTCCTGAGATCCAAATGATAACAAAGTGGGCAGATAGGGCTTCCTTGGTGGCGCAGTGGTTGAGAGTCCGCCTGCCGATGCAGGGCACACGGGTTCGTGCCCCGGTCCGGGAAGATCCCACGTGCCGCGGAGCGGCTGGGCCCGTGAGCCATGGCCGCTGAGCCTGCGCGTCCAGAGCCTGTGCTCCGCAACGGGAGAGGGAGAGGCCACAACAGTGAGAGGCCCGCGTACTGCAAAAAAACAAACAAACAAACAAACAAAAAAGTGGGCAGATAGATGTTCAACTAGAGTGGATCTGTTAAAAGTCAGATGTAGATAAATTGGAATTCAAGTAACCAGACCTCCAGTCTAATTGAAATTTATATCTTACAGTTGAGTTTCAAGATAAAGCAAATTACAACCAAAAAAAAAAAAAAAAGCTTTTTATCAGGGATTAATCAAGGATTATTTGGAAAAGTCACTTGCACTGAACATGTGTTTAATCTCCCTCATGGTCCACTGTAACATAATATTCAGCTAGGATTGATGTCTGTTGTCAGGACCTGGGGCAACTGCAGATATTCAATCACCAGAGACAGATTAAATTATGTCAAATATGCCGAGGCAAGAAAGAAACGAATACATTTGAAATATATGCTACACAAGTGGTCCTAATTATCTTTCATTTAAGTAAAAATAATAAGTAGAAGATCCCTTAAACAGCTTACTAGTTAAGGCTTTATTTACTATGTGCTGGAGGTGGCTATATAATAAAAAGAAAATGATAAAGGTATTGCAAATTTGTGTGCCCTCCTTTCTGTTCATCTTCTTTACGAGCAGTTTTAAGATTACCTTGCAGAATATGGAAGAATGTTGTTCTATCCATATTGAGCACCAGAGTTCCAATTAAGTCAATTTTTGGTCTTTAGGGGCTACCTCTAAAATTGTGAGACTATAGGCCAGTACTAACTAGTGTGGACTTTACCTGCCACGTGGTGATGATTGGCAACTTGTTTTTGGCAAGTAGGATGAGAGTGTGTGTTATAGCAATCAGTGTTTATGTTTGAACCTGTATTTAAAGCCAACAAATTATTTGAAACTGGGCAATTAAACAGTGTTAAACATACTATATAAGATGCTTTCTACTGTTTAGTCTGTGGTTTCCTATGCTAGTTAATACTGTATGTAATTGACAGCCATAATTTGGTATATTCTTCATTCAGAGGTAAAAGGTAAATTTAGTAACTTTTTTTTTTAGTACATCTTAGGAGCCATTTTTAAATTTAGTCTTCCTGAAGCATAACTACTGTCACACCCTTTCAGATTCCAAAACCTTGAACCAGTGAGTCCTGTTTTCTAGTTATTAGCCATTTCCCTCAGCCTAATGGAGGAGATAATAAATATGTAACATGTCAGGGATAAGGGCTACAGACAAAGCAGAGTAAGAAGGAGTGGGCGGGGCTTCCCTGGTGGCGC